CCACGCCCTTCAGAATGACGGCCTCTTCCATGACCACCTCTACCTCTGACAATTTGAGGTCTGTAACTCTGTTTTGGACAATACCTCTTAATGTGTCTAGTCTCCCCACATCCATAACACTCTCTAGATTCAAGCATAGGTTTCTGTGAGAATGACGAAGTCTGGGGATAACCTCCAAACTCAGAGAAGTGTTGACCGGTCTGCGGTGGACCCCCAACTACAGTCTGCAGTGAAGACTGAATAGGCCGGGCTGGATAACCTCCTGAACCCTGCCCTCTAGAGTAAGACCATTAAACTCACCTCCCTTACGAAACCTTTTAGATGTCAATGCCATGGTGAAGTCATCTGGCTTCACTCCCTCCACCTCTATCACGAAGTCTACCACTTCCTGAAAGGATTTCGCTGTAGCCGCAAATCTTACCTCAACACCTTCACAAAACGACGAATCCTCTCTTGTGGACTGAAGCAAAGTTGGGTGGCATACCTGTATAATGCACGGAACTTAGCCTCATACGCAGTCACTGACATCTTGCCTTGCCCTAGGCTCAAGAACTCATCTCTCCTCGTATCCCTCAAGGTCCAGGGGATATACTTCTCCATAAATAAACTAGAGAACGACGCCCAAGTCATAGGTGGTACCTGTGCGGGTTGACACTCAACATGTGACCGCCACCACATTTTGGCATTTCCCTGAAACTGATAGGTTACAAACTCAACGCCAAATCGTTCCACTATGCCCATTTTATGTAGTAACTCATGACAATCAACCAAAAAATCGTAGGCATCCTCGGATTCAGCACCCTCGAAGACTGGAGGTTTCAATTTCAAGAACTTACTGAAAAGTTCATGTTGATCGCTTGTCATTATAGGCCCTGTAGTCAAACGAGGAAACGTTCCTATTTCCAATGAGGCATCCATGCGGGGAGCCTCAGCAACGGCCTCAGAACGTGACACTCCGATCCATATACTATCCTGGTGCGGGAACGTGACACCCGATCCATTACTATCCTGGTGTCGGAACGTGACACTCCAATCCATATACTATCCTGGTGTCAGAATGTGACACTCTGATCCATATACTATCCTGGTGCCGGAACGTGACACCCGATCCATATACTATCCTGGTGCCGGAACGTGACATCCGATTCATATACTATCCTGGTGCCGAAACGTGACACCCGATCCATCTATTATTCTCAATCTTTTAGTTCGTCAAGCCTTCTTTTATACCAAGGCATCATTATTAACAAAAAGATTTTAGGGTTTAAGATTCAACAGCCTCATCATGCTAATTCATCAAAATTATGCAATCATATCATACATACACACAATTAAGCAATATAGGAGACTTTACATTACTAGCCAATACATATGATTCGCTATTAAGAGTTTACTATGAAATAGCATAAACCATAACCTACCTCCACCGAAGAATTGCGATCAAGCAATCTACTTTCCCAAAGCTGCGTTCTTCCTCTCTCTCAATCGATCGTTTCTCCCTCTCTCTCTCTGTTCTTTTTCTTTTTCTTATTCAAACCCTCTTTCTTTTACTCTAACTAGCATATAATTAAGTATAAAAGATGATAAAATACCCCACTACTTGTTTCAAGGCTCTCTCTTTTAACCCCCAAGTAATTAAATTATTAACATTAAACCACTAACTTTATAATTATAAGCAGGAATAGTCCAAAACGCTCCTTAAAATATTTAACAGAAATCCGACCCAGTCAGGGTCACACGGCCTGTGACGGTCCATCCCGCACGTCCGTCACAAAGTTCAGAGAGTTAATTCTGCGGAAGGATTTGTGACGGTCCGTCGAGCCCTCAAGGTCCGTCCTGCCATTTCGTCGTGAAGTTCAGAGAGTCGATCTCAGTAACCCAAATTTCTAAATTCTTAGTGTTTTGGAACGAGACACCCTCGACGGTCCGTCGTGGGATCCGTCGACCCAGACAGTGATTTTCAGAAATTAACTCTGCTGCTCCAAACGACTAAACAGGTCGTTACAATTACAGATTGTGAGCCTAAGATGAAAAGGTCATACTCAAGGTAATTTTCCTTCTTTTTTTATTTATTTTCGTCACTTTTTTTACAGCTTGACATGTCTGTAGTAGAAAATTCATATCTCATTGTAGAAAAATCGAAATCATGAACCGTTTGATTTTTCAGAAACTAGAATTTTAGATATCCAACATACCCGAAATTCAAAATTTAATACCTTCAGAATCGTTTTAGATGATTTTTTGAATTTAGCTGTAGATTCTGTCATGCTAAAAATTCGTCACTTTTTTTACAGCCTGACATATTCGTTGTAGAAAATTCATATCTCATTGCAGAAAAATCAAAATCATGAACTGCTTGATTTTTCAGAAACTAGACTTTTTGATCTCTAACATATCAAAAATTCAAAATTTAATACATTCAGAATCTTTCTAGATGATTTTTTAAAGTTAGTTCTAAATTCTATCATGCTAAAAAAATTTCAGATTTGTGTGACTTATTAAAAATCTTGTGTCTTGACATTGGAACAACGAAATCAAAATCCACTTGGTGATTCCTAATATAGACATAAAGTTCTACAATACATCCAAGATTCAAGATTTAATACCTTTCGAGTCTCAAACATCTTGATGGGTAACAATCTCTCCTTCACTTGTCTTTCCCCCCCTTTTTTTTGTAGATCAGCAAAAGGAATTTTATATTTTATGGAGGCTACATAATGGAAGGATTTATCACAGAAAATGTGCTTAACGTCCATGCCTTAATAAAATAAATAAATAAATTTCTCAAGGTGTTCCATGGCCCCGAATGCTTAACCAACATGATGCCTTACTAGAATAGCGTGTAATGCTCCCGCCATGAAAATAACCTCAAGGTTTTACAAGGTCCCGAATGCTTAACCAACTTGAAGCTTTTACTAGAATACCGTGTAACGCTCCCGCCTTGAAGATAACCTCAAGGTGTTACAAAGTCCCGAATGCTTAACCATGAAGCTTTACTAAAATACCGTGTAACGCTCCCGCCTTGAAGATAACCTCAAGGTGTTACAAGGTCCCGAATGCTTAAATATGAAGCTTTACTAATATACCGTGTAACGCTCCCGCCTTGAAAATAAATTCAAGGTGTTACAAGGTCCCAAATGCTTGACCAACTTGAAGCTTTAATAGGATACCATGTAACGCTCCTGCCTTGAACATAACCTCAAGGTGTTACAAGGTCCTGAATGTTTGACCATGAAGCTTTACTAGAATACTGTGTAACAATCCCACCATGAAAATAAACTCAAGGTGTTACAAGGTCCCGAATGCTTGACCAACTTGAAGTTTTAATAGGATACCATGTAACGCTCCCGCCTTGAAGATAACCTCAAGGTGTTACAAGGTCCTGAATGTTTGATCATGAAGCTTTACTAGAATACAGTGTAACACTCCCGCCTTGAAAATAAACTCAAGGTGTTACAAGGTCCTGAATGCTTAACCAACTTGAGACAGGATAAACCCATGAAAAGACCAGTTTAAGGTGCAAAGGGACAAATATTGTCCACCTTAAGGCATGGAAATTTAAAGATCCTTTTAAAGATAAATCCGTCGGAACTCTAGCCTAAGGTACAAAGGGACAAGTTTGTCCACCTTAAGGCATAGAAATTTAAAGATTCGTTGAAGGATAAGCTTGACAAACTTGAAGCTTAATAGGATACCGTGTAACGCTCCCCCCTTTAAAATAATCTCAAGGTGTTACAAGGGTCCGAATGTTTAACCAACTTGAAGCTTTAATAGGATACCATGTAACGTTCCTGCCTTGAAGATAAACTCAAGGTGTTACAAGGTCCTGAATGCTTAACCAACTTGAGACAGGATAAACCCTTGAAAAGACCAGTTTAAGGTGCAAAGGGACAAATAGTGTCCACCTTAAGGCATGGAAATTTAAAGATCTTTTAAAGTTAAATCCGTCGGAACTCTAGCTTAAGGTGCAAAGGGACAAGTTTGTCCACCTTAAAGCATAGAAATTTAAAGATTCGTTGAAGGATAAGCTCACAACAAAGCTAGATTGAGGTGCAAAGGGACAAATATCGTCCACCTTAAGGCATGAAAAAATTTAAAGATCCTTTTAAATATACACTAGTGAAAAAGTCAACTTAAGGTGCAAAGGGACAAGTTTGTCCACCTTAAGGCATGAAAAATTTAAAGATCCTTTTAAATATACACCAGTGAAAAAGTCAACTTAAGGTGCAAAGGGACAAGTTTGTCCACCTTGAAACATAGAAATTCAATGATCTATTGAGGGATAATCCGCAACAAAGCAAGCTTAAGGTGCAACGGAACAAATCTCGCGCACCTTTAGGCATGGAATTCAATTACATACGCATTTGGAGACTTCTACTTATATACTTGAAGTCTTACCTTCATACTTAGAGTATTTGAATACTTCAACCTGTATACTTAGAGAATTTGGATACTTCAAATAATAAACTCGAAGAATATAAAGACTCCAATTTTCATACTTGATCTAATTTAAAGACTTCCACTGTACTAATAAGAGATTCATATTTTGTAAGGGTTTTCCCCTTCCATAGACCCATCAATACTTCGTGCAAGTCTTAAGTTTGATGAGACAAAAGATAAAAATAAAATATATATCGCTTTGACTTTCATGCAATAGATCAAGTGGGAACATTTTTTTTGACACTCATGCAACTGAACTTAGAATATAGTTCTAAGCGCCTACGTACCTCAATAAAGAGGATCAAGTCACAACGTAGTTTTGGGGATTTGAGTGATTATACTTTTTCTTTTGTGGTTGTTCCGTACACAGTTTATACTCTTGCGGGCCAGGAGTGACATGCAGTTTAGGCTCGTACCTTAAGGAGCATCATCTTCCTTCAAGGATAGTATCTCTTTAGAAATTTGGCATTAATAGAACCGATCCTTAAGCCATCAGCATCAACAAGCTTGTAAGCACCATTTGAATATGCTTCTTGTACGACATATGGTCCATCCCACTTTTAGGTAAATTTGCCCCCAGACTTGTTCGAAGTAATGATTGGTCTTCTTACCGCGAGAACTTGATCTCCAACTTGAAAGCACCTTAATCTAATCTTCTTATTAAAAGCACGAGATAGACGAGCTTGATAACATTCAAGGTTTTCTTGGGCTTCTAACCTCTTTTCGTCAAGTGCTTCTAACTCAGCAAGACGCAATCGAGCATTTTCTTCCTCAGTGAGCCCTTCTTGAATAGCAAGTCTTAAAGAGGGTATTTGACGCTCGAGTGGCAGGACTGCTTCAACTCCAAAAGCAAGTGAATATGGTGTTGCTTGAGTTGGTGTGCGATATGTTGTCCTATATGCCCACAAAGCTTCTTCCATTCTTTCATGCCAATCTCGTTTGGATTTGGAGACAACTTTCTTGAGCATGTTGCATAGAGTTTTATTGAATGCTTCAGCAAGACCATTAGCGGCAGCATGGTACATAGAAGATTTACGCTGCTTAAAGTCAAAAAGATCACAAATCTTGTTCATTAACTAGTTATCAAATGGTTTGACATTGTCTGTTATTATATAGCGAGGGATGCCAAAGCGATAGATAATATTTACTCGGATAAAATTTGCAACATTCTCTTTCTTCACCTCTTTAAGAGCAACAACTTCAGCCCATTTTGAAAAATAATCAGCTGCAGCCAAGATTTACAAGTGTCCACCAGAAGACTTTTGTAATGGTCCTACAATATCCAGTCTCCAAGCGTCAAATGGCCAAGATGTGATGGTTGGGTGCAATACTTCGGGTGGCTGATGAATGAAATTCGCATGAAATTGACAAGCATCACATTTTCTAGCATAGTATAAGCAATCTTTCACCATGGTTGGCCAGTAATACCCCATCCTCTTTATGTGAAAATGAAGTTTTGGTCCAGATTGATGTGATCCACATACTCCTGAGTGTGCTTCTTGCAGAGCTTGAATCGCTTATTCCTCTCCAAAGCATCGTAATAACATACCCTCAAATGATCTTCTATATAATGTATCCTTGTAGTAAAGAAAACGAGGTGCACGACGATGTATGTCAGTTCTTCTTCTTGGATTTTCTGGAAGTATCCCATAACATAGGTAGTCAATGACGGGTTGTCTCCAATCTTCCTTCGCAGCTTCAACAATGGCGACGATATGATTAAGCTTATTTTCAATTTATTCTTTTTCATTTGACGGTGGTACTATCTATTTTTGACAAACAGTTACTTGCATTTGATCAGGAAGGGTTAGCGTTGAAGCTAGAGTAGCCAATGCATCATCTTTCTTATTCTCTGTTCGACGCACATGTTGAAGGGTTACATCCCCAAGCCATCTTATCAACTTTTGAGAATAATCATGATAAGGTCGCAATTCAGGCTTTTTTATCTCATAACTTCCTAAGAGTTGATTAATCACCAATTGAGAGTCACCAAAGACCTATAAATGTAATTGTTTCATGTCAACGACCATTTCAAGTCCAAGTATCAGTGCTTGATATTCAGCGACATTATTGAAGCAACATTGTTTTAGAGTAAAAGAGAATTGTAGAATCTCTTCTTGTGAAGTGATGAACACCACACAAGCACCAGCTCCGCCGCGATGTGCAGCCCCGTCAAAATATATTTTCCTAGGAGGTTGAACTTCAATTAACATCGCATCTTCATCAGGAAACTTATCAGTTAACTCCCAATCATTTGGTGTAGGATGGTGTGCTAAGAAATCCGCTAGTGCTTGTCCCTTCACGGATTTTTAAGGGATGTACACAATCTCAAATTGTTGGAATTGGAGGTACCATCTTGCTAGTCGGTCACTAAGGACAGGTTTTGACATAACAAACTTGATGGGATTTGCTCTAGAAATAAGGCGGACAACAGGAGCTTGAAAATAATGCTTCATCTTTTGAATTGAGAAGACCAGTGCCAAGCATAACTTTTCAATTGGCGAATAATTTAGCTCATTTGGAGTCATCGTTCTACTTAAGTAATAAAGAGCATTTTCTTTGCATTCACTATTCTCTTGAGCTAACAGGGCTCCTACAGACCTTTCTTGTGCTGCAATGTAGAGTATCAATGGTTTTCCAGGTATAGGGGCTGCCAAAACTGGAGGTTTCGCTAGATACGATTTGATACTTTTGAAGGCTTCACTACATGTTTGGTCCCAATTAAAAGGAGCACCTTTCTTCATGAGATGACTGAATGGTTGACATCTCCCCGCTAGATTTAAGATGAACCTTCTCAAGTAGGCTAACTTTCCTTGGAGACTTTTTAACTCATGAATATCTCGCGGTTCAGGCATCTTTGATATTGCATCGACTTTGGCTTGATCAATTTCATTTCCTCGATGTCTCACAATAAAGCCAAGGAACTTGCTGGAAGTAACTCCGAAGGCACATTTCAATGGATTCATCCTTAGTTGATATCTTCGGAGTAACTCAAACACCATCCTTAAGTCTTTCAAATGATCACCCCTCTTCCTCGACTTTACTACCAAATCATCAACATAACATTCAACATTTTTATGGAGCAAGTCGTCAAAGATATTTTTCATAGCCCTTTGATATGTGGCGCCAGCATTCTTTAAACCAAATGGCATCACTTTGTAGCAATAAATACCTTTTGGCGTGCGAAATGCAGTGAGTTCTTCATCTTTTGGTGACATGCGGATTTGATTATATCCAGAAGAACCATCCATGAACGACATTGCCTCATAACCAGTGGTGGCATCAATCATCAACTCTGGAATGGGAAGAGGAAACTCATCTTTAGGGCATGCATTATTGAGATCTCTAAAGTCAACGCAAACTCGAATTTGACCATTCTTCTTCCTCACAGGAACAATACTTGAAATCCATGTAGGATATTTGACCTCACGAATAAATCCTGCCACAATGAGTTTGTTAACTTCATTTTCTATCAACGAATCAAGTCTGGTCTAAAACGTCTTTGAGCTTGTTTAACTGGACGAGAACTATTTTTGACTGCCAATTGATGTACCGCTACTCTAGGATTCAATCCAGGCATTTCTTTGTAACTCCAAGCGAATACATCTCTATATTCTTTGAGTATATTCATGTAAGCGACTTCTTCATCAATTTCTAGAAACGAACTCAAGTAAGTTGGCTTCGGATCTTCATCAGTGCCAAGGTTAACTTCCTTCAAAGGATCTATTATGATCTTTACTCCTTCTTCAAGTTCTGGTGGAACATCTTTAGCATCTTCCTCTTCCACAGGATCATTGTCATTGACTAATATATGAAAACACAAGACAATATCTTCTACCTCTTCCACAATCTTCTTTTGAGGCAAAGAATCGTACTCATTTCGGATTGTGACATGATTTGAGGAACCTACACTTTCTTCATCTTCCTCGCGCTCTTTGGTGTAAACCACAGTATGAACCTTTGCCTTGAGTTCCTCTTTACAGGAAACCATAAGTTCCACTCGTCGCCTCATCCTAGAAGGAATCAAACTTCTGAAATCCTTTCGAATCAAATGTGAAGTAGGCTTTGTAACTTTCAAATAACTTCTCAGGTTCTTGTTATTCTTCTTCAGAGGACCTAACCTCTTAAACACAGAAATTCTTGTTGTCGCTTCACCAAGTCGATCAAAGATAGAAGGCCTTTTATTGGGAGCAGTTGCGTCGTCTTCAAAAGTTATATGATTATTACTGGCCCTTCTTATGGAAATGCAAATTGGTGGCGGTTGGCTATAACCTAGGCCTTCACGTGCTTTCCTAATTGTATCTTCTGATGGGAGTTTCCCTAGCATTGATGGCTCGCTAGGGTTGTATCCTGCCTTCACAAATAACTTGTAGGCATTGGGATCAGAACCTTCTCTTGTGCGCTTTGTAGGGAAAGCCATATCTAGCACTTGATCTTGAGCGACTGACTTTTCTGGCAACTTTGCAGACAAGTTTATTGCATCAATCCGTCTTATAGGAAGAGTTAGCCCTCTTAATGCGTTTTCTTCAAGGTTAGATGGTTGATCTTGTTTTTTCTTCTCTTTTGGAACATAGCAAAGCCTAGAAGTCTGCTTCTTTTTTGAAGACAGGATCTTCCCTTAATTAAGAATGGGACAAGAGTCTTTACTGTCAATTTTCACCTTTTCGATAGCTGCATCAATTCTTTTACTTACGATATTATCAATGTTGATTGATTTGACGTCATTGGATTTGACCCATTTAACAACATAACTTCTCATATAGAATTTCGTATCCGCAAAGTGTGTCTCCACTTCGGTGAAAGGATTATCATCTACAACTATTTTTCTTTCAATTCCACCTTCAAGATATTTCAAACATTGATAGTAAGAAGATGAGACAATTCTATTCTTATGTACCCAAGGCCTGCCAAGTAATATGTTGTATGATGTCTTTGCGTCAATCACATGCATCCATGCGCTTGATCGCAAATCCTCCCATGTGGATCTCTAATTTAATAGAGCCTATGGACCTCTGTCCACCTTGATTAAATCCTTGTATCAACAGACGACTTTCACTAAGTTCCCCAGTCGTGACTCTAGATCCTTCATCTATTAAGATTCTATTTATCTTCTTCTCTAGCACATGACCCACCATATACAAAGGACGATTGTGTAGTGTTTCACCAAATAGAAGATCGTTATCCGTAAATGTGATTTTAGTATCACAGACATGTGCTTCTTGGGAAGAAAGTTCAATAGATTTTTCAGAAGATGAAAGAGACATCATTTCTGAGATTTCCCTTGTTTCTTTTTCTTCTTCCCCAGGAGACCCTTTTGGTGAGGATTCACTCGTTGTTCCTTCTTTTACAAGTAGGAGGCACATTCATTGTTTGTCCTTTATCCACATTGAAACATGATGCCTCAACATTTCCTTGAGTAGACTTTGTACCGAACGAGCTTGGCAAGAATTCCTCTAGAGTCACAAGACGTCAAGGTTTTTGGTAGTGATGCACTTCAACCTTTGCCCTTTTGGGGCGCTTGATTGATTTTTGCTTCTCTAATTTCTTCACCATTTTTCCTCTAACCGGTTTCTCGAATAATTCTTTTCGTAATCTTGACGTATTGCGTCTTCACCTAGTTACAAGAATCCAACCCTCATCACCATCTATGTCAACGTCCTATTCTACTGGCTTTTCTTCATGCTTTTTAGAGATTTACATTTGGATTGGATCCAATGAACCAAACATGACAGAGATCTGGTTAGAACTAGCCTTCTCATCATCAAGGATAATTTATTTTCGTTTACCAATCGCATCACTCTATCCTTAAAGACAAAACATTTTTCAAGAGGATGACTAACAAGTCTGTGATAGTTGCAACAATTTGGGTCATCAGTTTTTCCAGCTTCATCGGGTCGCTTCATCTCTGGCAAGTCAATGAGCTTTAACTCAAGTAATTCATCAAAAATTTCAGAAACGTCAGAATCCAAGAAGGGATACTTTTTTACTTGCATCTCCCTTAGCGTCGAATTTTGATTTGAACGTGCTTGGAAAGCCATTCTTACATTTTGTCTTACGCCCTCATTCGTGGTGAACTTTGCGGGTGACACATTTACACTCATGGATTCTTTGTTGTCATTTTTGGGCAGAAACTTGCTCCACCTCTTGGGTTCTTGTTTGTCCCTTCCTTTGCGAGGATCATGGACAATAGTCATATCTTTTCCTGCAGATGTCATGCTCAACTCCATATCATGAGTGCGAGTAGCTAAATCCTTAAAAGATTTTGGTTTTATTCCTTGCAAGATGTAAAGAAGCTCCCAGTGCATTCCTTGAATACACATTTCGATTGCAGAAGCTTCACTAAGCCTGTCCTTGCAATTTAGGCTCGCGTTCCTCCATCGATTTATGAAATCTATGACCGGTTCATCCTTCCTTTGGCGAGTATTCGTGAGTTCTACCATGCTCACTTTGCGCCTTGTGCTATAGAAGCGATTGAGAAACTCATGTTCTAGTTGCTCCCAACTATCAATAGAGTTAGGTTCGAGATCCGTGTACCAATCAAAGGCATTTCCTTTTAGAGAGCGGACAAACTGTTTGACAAGATGGTCTTCATATGTTCCAGCATTATTACATGTCTCCACGAAGTGCGCGACATATTGTTTGGGATTTCCTTTTCCCTCAAATTGTTGAAATTTGGGAGGTTGATAACCAGCAGGCATTTTGAAGTTATCAATCCTAGTAGTGTATGGCTTAGCATACATATGAGAAGACTTGGTGGAGACTTCATACTTATCTTTGATAGTTCCTTCAATAAACTCCTTCAAGCGATCGAGTGGGATCATTCCTTCAGAAGAAACTGGCATCTCTTTAACAAACGGGGCTTTCTTAGCAGGATCTTCGATTTCTTGAACTTCAATGCCCTTTCCAGGTTCATGGCTCGCATCTCCATGTAAAAGTCCTTCTATCTTGTCCATCAACTTGTCAATTCGAGATTCTTGGTGTTGTACATGCTTCGTCAATCCTTCAACCAACTTCATCAGATTTGCGAGTTGTTCCTTAGGAGAGGAAGCAGCAGTCACCATCATTTGCATGATCATCGAAGATGCAGGAGAGTAACATGGATTGTCGCGTAAGTTAATTTCCAGTGGACTCACATTACGCGATATACGTGGAGATGATTCATAAGTTGAATCACAGTTCTCCCTTGTGGTAGAATTCTTGGAACCAGATTGCTCAAGTAGAGCCAATGTCTTCTTGATCTTTTCAGTAACACTACTTCTTCCTTCTAGAGAATTTGTGGAGGAACTTTCTCCTTTTGGAGTCGAAGTCCCAAAAAGAGGGGTTGATACAGACGACACTTGAAGTGTTTGTTGCCCTAGTGTAGCAGCCTTGCTTCTCGTAATAACTCCAAAACTTCCAAAGGTAACTCCAAGGATGTCTTCAACTTCAGTAGAGAACTTGGAGCTAGTGACCTTAGAGGAGGTTGATCGAGAGTTGTTGTTCATGGAAGTCATCTTGATATTCTTTGACGTTAAAAAAGTTGAGATGAGAGGTAGAGATTGTCCCACTGGGCGTGCCAGAATTTGTAGACAATAAAATTCGCGTCGAGAAAACAATAATCAAGAACGGAAAATCATAGCAACAATTGATTTTATTATTTCAAGTGCGAGTGTTACAATCTCTATAATTCCTATTAATTCGCCTTTTCAAATATAAATTCAAGGGCTTTAAAGCTTGTTCTTGAATCTATGATGAACTTGAACTTTATCTTGATCTTGATTTTTATTTGAACTCAAGGGCTTCGAGCTTGTTCTGGAATTCGGTGGTCTTGATCTTGATCGTTCTTGAACTTGAATGCTTGAATTCTTAAACTTGTAGCTTTGTAGAGAATTAAATGGCATTTGTACCACGGAGTTTCTCTAGCTTCTTGTTTAGAATTTTTTGTCTCTTTTCTGAATTATGAGGACCCCTATTTATAGTTTTAGAATAGAGGAGTTCCGATTGGAATAGGATTTCATTCAGCCAATCAGATTAAAGTGACATGGCATTTGGGCTTTATGGAGCGGGCTTGTCATCTTTGACACATGTCATGATTCTATTGTTTTTCTTATTTCACTTGGCATGCCACATCATCTGCACACGTGGCGCCAAGATGCGCTCTAGAATGAGATGAGATTGGGTTTAACAAATTGGGTTCATCCAATGTAGCTCAAATCAATTAATTTAGACTTTAATTAAATCCATATTTATTGGATTTAAATATTTAACTCAATTATATCAATCCACAATATTTATTTGGATTAATATATTAATGAATTCAATATAATCCGAATCATTTTATAAATTTATATTTAATAAATTTTAAATGATTACAGTATTAAACTAAAAAATTGCAAAATTTCGTGTTTCCTGGTTCCATTATTTAAAAAAAAAATTAAAAATGCCTTAAACTGATTCCCACATTTTCAAGTTCCATCATTAAAAGAAAAATGCCTAAAAGTAAGCTGATAAAAAATACAATTAGCAGACTCGAACGTGTCACTTAAAGCGCAAATGTGAACATCATCCACCACTGAGCTACACCTTTGATTTATGTTTAGGAGGTTCAATATTATATATGTACACATAAAGTAAAATTTATATATATATATATATATATATATATATATATTGTAAATATGATGTTATAAGTGACTTATAAATTCCTTTACAAGCAAGGAAAATTCTTTAGCTTTCAAAGGATCAGCATTCTCGGACCCGTGATATGCTCCTTGAGTGAATCTACCTTCTACTTGAACGCCCAATTCTTTCAATACCCTTACAAGGTCAACCTGGCGGTCAGTTAAAGGATCGTCATCAGATCCAGTGACCAACATTTTCCACCCCAATAATTTTACTTGATCAAATAGGTTCGGATTTAGATTTAATCCCCACAATTGGATTTGAATACTCATGATCGCGATCAGCACCTTGAGGCAATTCTAGGTCCCACGTGATATCATTTACAATTGGGGGTAACCAATATTACTTCTGATTGTGTCCTCTCATTCCCACCAAAGAAAGGTTGAGTCAATATCAACCCCTTGATTTCCAAAGGCTTGAGGTTGTCCCAACTCTCCGCGGCGCATAGGCCCACATGGTACACCACGTTGACTCCGGCACTCGAGCCAATTAGGAAACATTTGGAGAAACCAGCGTGGTGGATAATAGCTCATCGGGTTTGGTCTTGACCCAACGTAAAGCTTCCATGCAATCGTCGTATGCTGCTGGAAGTCTCTACTCGGGGGCTTGACGATACTCAATTGCCACAACAACTGCTGGAATTTCACTAGCAATGGACGCGTACAACCCTTGAAAGATGGGGGTATCTACAGTTGCCACTATGAATCCTCCTCCGTGAAAATAAATTACGAGAGAAAGTTTAGGAGTACTGGTGATACAATGGAGAAGTTTACGAGGGGATAATACGTGCCCATGTGTTCTTTGAGGAGTTAATGGAAATATCTTTGGTGTAGACTAGATGGGAAGACCATTAGATGTGTCTACCAGGATACGAGGTTCTCATAGACGTGTGATGGAACCATCATAATTATGAACCATGTCCAAATAGCCATAGGGATCAACATTAGGATCAATTGGCATAGTTTCATTATTTTGATCAGACATGGTTGTAATAGTAGTGTTTAGAGATGAAGATCGTGAATGTTTTGAGCAATTCATGAAATAAAGCGTAGTGTATGTATGGTTGGCAAATCAACTCTTTTGGTATTCGTTAAGAAAAGACAATTAAATTATAGTCCAAAGTGCATATAGTACTACAAACATATCATCAATTTCAAAGATGACAGCTTGACCAATTTAATTAAATATTTCCAATCCTATTAGATTTTTTTTTTCATATTTGAATTTTTTTACTAGGGCTTAGACACTTTTTTGTAGTTCAACACTTTTTTGTAGTTCAAAATAAGTGATTTATTTTAATGTCTAAGAGAGTTGTTGAAATCTATTTTCATATTTTTTTTCTTGTTTTAAAAATGTTTTTTTCTTAAAGTCCTTGTCAAATCAAACTTAGATTATATGAAGTGGTACAAAGAAAGTAATAAAAATATCTTTTAATATTTGTGGTAAAATATTTTCTGACATATCATATCTAATATTTTTTCTGTCTCATGATTTGGTTTGACTTGCCACGATTTTAAAAGGAAGGAGGGGGGGGTGAGTATTTTTTGAAGGAGTAATTCACTTACTATATGGACCATAGGGAGTATTTTTAAAAGTATCTATATTCGTGCAAACAAGTTGTAAGATGACAGCTATTAGTAAGGAGAAGTCAAAACAGTATTTGTGGCTACCATGTTCGAAATTTACGAATTCATGACATAATTGAGTGCATCAGCATTTCATCCATGAAAGAAAATACTTTCATGATATGGACATTTGGTACACAATATTGCCCTAATTTTCCTCCCTTCTCGGATTTATATGGAAAAAAAGACCAAACTGATTATGTTGTTACAGTAATAGAGTCGGAAATATAACGAAGAATGTTCAGTATTTATTAATAGCTTTTCTCTTTAAAAAATGATACACCAAAAATTTTAAAATAAGATTACACATTATTTATATTTTACTTGTTCTAAAAGAATGGATGTTAGTAATTGACGTGTTAATGAACGGATACACCCAAATTTTTAAATCAGAATAAGTAATTTTTAGCTCTAATAAGAATTTATTTATTAATATAAAATAAGTAGACGGAGCGAAAAAAGAAAGGAGAAAGAGAGTTTAGTCCAGATAGAAATCATATTAGTCTTTTAAGTCACCTGCCTTTGACAACGACAAAACAATAATAACAGTGAGTGGAAGTGTACTTGACAAGGTTGATTTGGATTTTTTCACATATCAAACTATTATTTTCATAAAATTTTTGAATTTATAAATCAAATCAAAATAATACAATTCGGATTCTTTTGGGTTCTTTAACCTCAAGTTGGTTCGGATTTTTCAAATATCAAATCAAATCATTGTATCAAATTTTTAAATTTACAAATCAAACCAAATAATAAACCACGAATATTTTCAGATTTTTGATTTTTTTTGATAAAGTTTGCATACAATGTATAATTAATTTGTGCTTCAAATATTTTTTTAGTCAAACCAAAATATAATTATCTAAAGTGTTTCTTAAGAAAATACAAAATATGAGATGAGCATTGATGACACAAAATATTCAATTAAAATGATAATGAAATCATCATATAAAATAAATATTGTAAAGTCATAATGAAAATGATCATAATTTAAAAATACTAAATCATGCTACAGTAAGTTTAGTAAGTATTAGTTACATTACTAATATTTAAGGAAAATTAAAATTAGATTATGTATTTTAATTGCTTAAACCAATGTAAAACCAAAGAACAAATATTTAATATTATTGTCATTCTTAGTGTTGAATTGATTTTCTTTTTGCATTAGTATTAATTTGATTTTGATTTAAGATTTATTATAATTATCAATATCTATGAACTATAATGTTTATTAGATCATTTCGAATTCTATGTTTTAAACTTAAAAGATAAAAAATATGAAATAGTAAAAGAAATATTTAAAAATGATATCAAAGTAAATACTTTTATGTATAAAATAAAATTTTAAAATTACATATATAATGTCAGATTGATTTAATTTCGATTTATTTTATTTTTTAGTTAAAACTAGACCAACCTAAATATAGTCGGATTTTTTTTTTCAATACCAAAACAAGTTAAACCAAACCACTAATCAAATTTTTTTTTTGATTTTACTCGATTTGCTTTGGTTCGAGTCTCCTTTTGATTTTGTACACCCTACCGTGAGCTGTACATGGCTACACCATTGAGTGCAAAATTTGAGTTGTATTCCCTAAAGCATGTTGTTTGATAAATTACACATAATTATTTTGTCTACGTAAATAGTGTTGCAAACTAAAAGTCAAGCACTACTATACTTTTAAAATCATTGTTCACGCACCTTCTTATGTGTCCATTCACTTAACTAACTTTATTTAGGTATGAAATTAATCATTTCGAATAAAATGTAGAAACATACAAAATCGTTCGCTTTTGCAACAAAATCAGCTAAACATTGTAATTTTGTCGTATTATTCAAGGATAGCAGTGAAGTGTCTTTTTCTTTTTGGTTAAACAAGATATTATATTAATAATTAATATGCGTCATTACATTTTTTGGAAGGGGCAATATTACTATCACAATTATACAAAGCAATTCCCCTTAAAAGTTACTTATAAGTTCCTTTACAAGCAAGGAAAATTCTTTAGTTTTCAAAGGATCAATAATCTCCGAGCCATGATAAAATCCTTGAGTGAAACTACCCTCTACTTGAACGTCCAATTCTTTCAACACCTTTACTAGGTCAACTTGGCGGTCAATCAAAGGATCACCATCACAGCCAGTCACCAACATCTTCCATCCTAATAATTTTACTTGATCCAATAAATTCGGTTTTGATTCAATCCCCACCATTGGATTTGAATACTCATGATCGCGATCAGCACCTTCAGGCAATCCTAGGTCCCACATGATATCACTTATAATTGGGGGTAACACCTTGTCATTAGCCAATCTTACTTCTGATTGTGTCCTCTTATTCCCACCAAAGAAAGGTTGATTCAATATCAACCCCTTGATTACCAAAGGCTTGAGGTTGTCCCAACTCTCCGCAGCGCGTAGGCCAACGTGGTACACCACGTTGCCTCCGGCACTCGTGCCCATTAGGAAACATTTGGAGAAATCAGCATGATTAGATAATAGCTCGTCGGGTTTGGTCTTGATCCAATGCAATGCTTCCATGCAATCGTCGTATGCTGCTGGAAGTCTATGCTCGGGGGCTTGACGATACTCAATTGACACAACAACTGCTGGAATTTCACTAGCAATTGACGCGTAAAATCTTTGAAAGCTAGGTGAATCTACAGTTGCTACTATGAATCCTCCTCCGTGAAAATAGATCACGAGAGGAAGTTTAGGAGTACTGGTGGTGGAATGGAGAAGTTCACGAGGGAGGATAATGCGTGCCCATGTGTTCTTTGAGGAGCTAATGGAAATATCTTTGGTGAAGACTAGATGGGAAAGATCATTAGATGTGTCTACCGGAACAGGAGGTTCATGTAGACGTGTGATGGAACCATCAGAATTATGAACCATGCCCAAATAGCCATAGGGATCAACATTTGGATCTATTGGCATAGTTTCATTGTTTTGATTAGGCATGGTTGTAATAGTAGAGTTTAGAGATGAAGATTGTGAATGTTATGAGCAATTCATGAAATAAAGTATAGTGTATATATGGTTGGCAAGTCAACTCTTTGGTATTGGTTAAGAAAAGATGATTAAAATATAGAACAAAGTCCCTATAGAAATACAAACATATCATCAATTTCAAAGCTGACAGCTTGACCAATTTAATTAAATATTTTCGATCCTTTTAGGCTATTTTAACGGTTCAAAATTTTAAATCAGATTTGACACTATAAGTAAACTTTTTAAAGTTAAAAAGAGAATTGTTGAAATATTTTTTTTCATATTTATTCTTATTTTAAAAATCTTTTGTTATTTCTTTAAGTTCTTGCTAAATCTAACAAACATATAAAATGGAAAAAAAAATAGTAAAGATATTTTTTAATATTAGTGGTGAAATATTTTCTGACGTATCGTATCTAATAATTCACTTAATATATATGGACCATAGGGAGTATTAAAAGTATCTATTTCGTGCAAACAAATTGTAAGGTGACATCTATTACTAAGGATAGTGGCTGAGCTGCCATGTTTGAATCTTACAAATTCATGACATAATCCACTGCATAAGCATTTCATCCATGAAAGAAAATATTCTCATGATATGGACATTTGGTACACAATATCTCCCTTCTCGATTTTACTTCTAAAAAAACAAGTAAAAGTATAGTTTTCAATTGATATCAAGTTAAGGATCATAATTATGTATGAGATTTATATGATTGGATTGATTTGGATTCTTCAAATATCAAATCAAATTATTTGTGTATTTTTGAAGTTATAAATCAAACTAATAAAACTCATTTTCTTCGAGTTTTTTCAATAAAGTATTCATATAAACAAATATTTTAATTTTACACCAAATATTTCATTAGTCCTATCAAAATGTAACTATCTAAGTTATTTCTCAAGAAAGTAACAAAAAATATAATATGACTAATGACACTAAAATATCCAATAAAAAAATAGTAATAAAATCGCGTAAAACAAATATTGCAAATTAATAAGTTATAGTAAAATTGATCATAATTTAAAGTAGTAAATCATGCTAAAATAAATTTAGTAAGTATTAGTTACATGACTAAATATTAAAAGAAAGTAAAATTAGGTCATGCATTTTAATTGTCTAAATCTATGTAAACCTAAAATTAAATATTCAATATTATTGTCATTCTTAGTGTTGAACTGATTTTCTTTTTGCATTAGTATTAGTTTGAAATTTATTAAAACTTTATTATAATTATCAACATGTATGGACTGTAATCTTTATTAGATCGTTAAGAATTCTGACTTCCAAACATATAATAAATATATTAAAAGATAAAAATTATGAAAATCTACAAGTGATATTTAAAAATTATATCAAAGTAAATACTTTTATGTATAAAATAAAATTTTAAAATTATATATATAATGTCGGGTTGATTTGGTCTCGGGTTGGTTTTTTATAGTTGAAACCAAACCAACTCAAATATTGTCGGGGGGTTTTCAACACCAAACCACTAGTCGAATTTTTTTTTCGGTTTGATTTGATTTGCGGTTTGGATCAATTCTCCATTCGATTTTTTACACCCCTAATTATGTATTATGCCTTTGAAGTATGAATTGACTAACACCGTACAAGATAATCTTTTTGTTATCAAATATTTTTTAAGATTAAGAAGTTATGTTCTAAAGTATTTTAATAGAAAATTTGAATGAGCTTATCTCTAAACACGAAGGAGAAGAATTTTCATTCATGATTCATAACCTGAATATATTCTATTTATGACATCGATTTATGAATGTAATCAACAACCATCCTTGGAGAAATTTAAAAATGTTCTATCATCAGGGATTACTATCCAAGTGTATTTGCCAAAAAAGGGAGGAAAATTCTCTTGTAACAAAAACAAGAGAGAGATGTCACACTTTCAATCCTCATATAGGTCAAGCTCACTGAGAAAGAATGAAGAATCTTCTAATAAGCCTCTCAAACGTCACCATTGTGATAGAATATCACACACAAAAAGATATTTTCCAAATCAAGAAAAGCAATATGACTTAAACTAAGAAAACTGTCAAAATTAAGAAGAAGACTTGAAAAATGCTTTATAGATTGAGACTCGAGGTATAGATGTTATAACTTTCGTGCGTGAGTGAAGCAATGCACCAATTTTATCAACAAGAAGCAAATAATTCTTTTTGACGATGTTTAGACATGTGACATGGTAACTACTATCGAGGATATCAAATATCATCAACAAGAAGAAAGAAAATTTTAAAATGTTCTGACTTGTGACGTGGTAACTGCTATAAAGAAAATCAAAGATGTAAATCCTGAATCTGAGATAAAAGTCAAACAAGAAAAATTGTTGGTGCTTTTTTTAAAAGAAATGGGGCAGCACAAAATGATTGAAAATATCTCTCAGGATTGAAATGACTTTCAAATATTTTTATTAAGCATTGAGGGACTTTATACAGGCAATATGAAATACATAATCTGCATAATTTATAATTTAAACAACCTAAAATATGTCAACAAAATAAACAAACTAACTAAAATTCAAAATTTAAATTTATTCAAGTTAAACAACTTATTTTGCTAAAAGTTACTGCAGTAACTAAAAGCAAACTTCAACACTCCTCATTTACTTTAGTTACTGCAATGGAAAAATATGTTCCTCCTCAATTTTTACTTTGATAGTTGATGCTGGAATTTTTCTTCTTTTGATTTTCTTCTCAAAAAACACGTGCGATGACATTGTCTTGTGTAGAAGTTTTTTTGAAATTGCTTTAGTCTGAACTTTTGTATAATTTGTAGAGAGACTGTTGATATCACTTATTACGTATGTTTCGAAATATGATTTTATTCACACAGACTTAATTTGATAGTATTCATCTGTGAAAATTTGCTGGGCATTTAAGAGAGACTGTTGAAGAAGAAGGAAACTGACGATTAAAACATGTCAAAGGAACAGGTCCAACGCAGTTGAGTGACGTGTCTGCAACAAGTGTTGATGAAGAAGGAAACTGAAGATTGGAACATGTCGAAGGAACATGTCAAACGAAGCCGACGAATGAGTTTACAACACTGCGGTTGAATTAAAGTAGCACTAGGATTAAACTATCTATGTTAATTAGGATTATATTTCGTCTATAATTATATTATGATTAGGATTATATTATGACTAGGATTACTATTAGAATTATAGTATAATTAGAATTTATATTATTTATAATTGCATTATTATTATTATTATTATTTTTATTGTTGTTGTTGTTGTTATTATTATTATTATTATTATTATTATAGTAGTAGTAATAGGTATTGTAATAGGACTCTGAGTATAGTTAACTTAGGAAACTACAATTCTCTCCTATATAAGGAGTGTGTACTTAACATTATTATTTATCAATACTACAAATATTGATCAACATGTCAATAATATGAATATATCAATACTAATCAAGCTATCAATATATCAATACAATCCTTGATTTCTCTATGTGAGATTTCTAGGAGACTATTGCTTCTGTGTGTTGAAAAATGCATGGATTGAAAAGGTAGCCTTGATGGTTTAAAATGGATACCCATGACGGGTTGAAAAGGTAGCCCTTATGGGTTAAAATTAACAGATTTCACAGATCTCTTAAGATCAATGAAGCTCTTGATACCAGTGCTGGTGTCTTTTTAAAAGAAATGTGGCAGCACAAAATGATTGAAAATGTCTCTCATGATTTAAATTACTTTCACTAGCTTTCAAATATTCTGATTGAGCATTGAGAGGCTTTATATAGACAACATAAAATACATAATCTACATAATTTAAAATTGAAACAACCTAAAATATCTCAATAATATAAAAAAACTAAAATTCAAAATTTAAAATTTATTCAAACTAAATAATTTATTTTGCTAAAAATTACTGCAGTAACTAAAAGCAAACTTCAACAAAAATGTTGAAGTAGATTCAAAGAGATATATCAATGATATGATCATCTTGGAAAAAGCATTGAGGGAGATAGATTGAAAATCTTTGGTAAATCATTTGATATATCAAGGTCAATTACTGGTTTAGAGCAAACACTGATTGTAAATGGAGATGTTGGAGACGCTGATCTTAGAAGGCCAAATATCAAGAGAAGAGACAAAAGGCATAATTTTGGGTAGCTCTGAATCTGATAAAAAGGTTAATAAAGAGCTAGAAATTAAAGAAAAATTGGTTGTGAATCTTATGATGTTGACGCTTCACAGAAAATTGTTTATGAGATTGTCATCAAATTAAATGGGAACGCCTTCACGGATGAAAACTCCTTGAGTTATAAAGTTGTATTAGAAGGAGCTAGCATGTTCTGAACTCATGAATACATGAGATCCAAACTTGCTCATCATAGATATTTCTCCATATAGTTCTACTGTCAGGTAGCTAAGAGAAGTGAAAAGTCTAGAAACTCAACAATGATATATTCACATGGATCATTCGATAATGAAAATCTTCATCATTTGAAGAAGCCAGGGGAGTTTGGAAGAAATTGTTGAGAATTTCACAAGGTGCAGTTTAAAGCTTTATTTGAGTTCTTCCAAGAAGCATCCTACAAAGCCTCGCTAATTTAGAATTTGAGCACGAAATGACCGCACTAGAACAATTCATAGGATATATAGTTTCCAAAAAAGATCTCTTTTAAGAGAGTGTGTAAAAAAGATAATTTATGCAATTTCAAATCTATAAGAAAATTTTAGTAATTGTACATCTTTTGTCTCACGTGGTACACTTCATAATTTCACGCAAATGAAGCGAGTGAGAGATATTTGAATGTCACATAAGCCAAAAAGATGTACAAAATTAAAAAAAAATTCAGGGGTAATAAGACCTTAGTTTAGTTAAGGTGTGTCTCTATGATTTCAATCATAGTCTAGGGGGTGCTTGTGCATTTTCTCACTTTTCTAGTATAATTTCTTGAATAATGTACTAGAATAATATTTTTAAAGAAATATCTAGATATTCTTGAGTAGAAGATAAAATTACTAGAATTTTCTTATTGTTATAAAATCAAGCTCTGAGAATATAATCATC